GTTTGTTTACACATTACAGTGCAGCTCTGAGAGCAGGGGGCCTGTGACTGGTCCTTGCTGAGCTGCCCGGGTCTATACCCTTCTCTCCTGGTGCTTTGTGAGTACTTACTGATTAAATAAAGTGCTCCAGAACTGTAGCACATTTGCCAGTTTGACACCAGAGCTGGGACTTAAGCACGATGGGTCTAACCTCATGTTTCTTACAGTACACCCCACAGATTGCCCAAGACCTCCTTGGGGTCCCCTGGGAAGTGTGGCTCTTTGCCTCTACCCAGAGCCACTTGGGATTTCTGTGCAGTCTACCAGGAACGTGCATTTCCCACAAACAATAATGGTGACTGTTAGGCCAACTCAAGTGGAACTAAGTGAGCTTAGTGGAGAAACCCAGGCCACCAACAGTTAATCTGCTTAACAGTTCACATCCTCCTCAACTGACTTGGTGGAGAGTAGAACAAGATAATATGCCAACAGTTTAAGAAAAGATGTGTCATTCAGGCAAGGAATGGATGTGTTAAAAGAAACTGAAGGTTAGTTAGAATGTGGATTTAGAAAGACAGGTAAATGTGCTTCATTTTTTTTGTAAATTAAATAACATCTAAATAAAGACTATAAAATATTGAGGTATATTTCAAATATCATGGTGAAGCTCCTTACTCTTCTTTTCTTACACTTTTATACCTACTGGATCAGTCAAAATTTGTAGATTAATGTTTTAAAATGCTGAGAGAAGCCAGCAGCTTGTTCCAGTCTCTGACTCAGTTAAGCTCTTACAATATTTTGACTGTTTGAAGAATATTAATAATGGGATGTTAGGTGGTAGATTAACTGAAACTAAATATCAACATGGCTAGATTTATTTTTGGATGACTGAGCTCATACCTTCAAAGAGCAGCAACAGGATTCATTATAGCATCAGTTATGAACTTACACAATACCAGAAGAGCTCCCAAATGGAGCAGAGAGTGCCACACGCATTTAACGATTACGTAAGAGGCTGAAAGTTTAGATGTGACATTAGCGAGGTTTAGCTGATTACCTAGGGCTCACAAAGACACCAGAGAAAGCTAAACCAGTAACTGTCCTGCTGGTTTCAGCATTACACTAGTTCCTGATGCCTCACTGCTTCTCTCCTGATGAGCTGAGAGCATCCCTCTCTCTTCTAGCCAATGCAGACAAAGGGATGAATGTGAAAGTCAACCATGCTTTTCCTTCTGCCCTCTATGTATCCACTCAGCAAATATTTACTAAGCACCTGTTTGTCCTCCTCTTACCCCACCTCCCTTCCTATGCATGAGCTGCCTGTGGGTCCCTGGTCATGAAGAAGATTCAAGCGTGTGCTTCCAGGTCAAACATGTTCCTGGGTAGAAAGTGACTGGTCCTATTTTGGAAGGGCCTAAAGTCCTGGTGCTTCCAAGCCAACAACAAAGAGCTGTTTTGGGTATAGATGAGGTAAAAATCACCTTTAATTGCCTACAACAGGAGTGCCAGCTCCCCAGTTGCCCTTACCTCTCTGTGTAGTGAAGAGACTGCTGAGGATGGCCTTGGGCTCTCGTGTTAGTACAGTCGCCTGGCAGTGAACGCTTGGTGAGTGAGAACACCAAAATGCAATCACCAAAACCTGCCTTTAGTCCATGGACTGCCTCCCAGGCAGATGCGTGAGCAATCCTAACACCCCCTCTACACTCACACCGAAACTCACAGAGATTTCTAACACTAGCAAAGTCAGTGGAACACACTACTGAGGAACTAAGGCCATTAATGGGAGCCATTTCCGGACCATACCATCATGTCTCACAACTCAAGGGAAGGAAGCTGTCTACGCTCCCACTGTTCCCCTCGCCCCACAGCAGGTACAGACCAGAATTAGCTCCATGGCTTGGACTAAGGCTTAGCCTTTACCTGGTGTGTGTGTGAACATTATTTAACATGCAAAACTGGGAAGAACCCCAATGTGCCTTGACAAGAGGAAGGATAACATATGGACAGCCTCAGAATGGACAGTACGGTAATAATAAAGATGATCCAACTACAGATGTGAACAATGGAGTGTGTCTCAGAAACAGCACACACATACTGTTTTTATAGAGCTCAAAACACTGTGGTGTTTCCGGATACATGCACATGTGGCAAACTGCACTTGAAAAGAAGAGGGGTGGCTCTCAGGGTGGAGGGGGTCCTGGCTGGAGAGCCCGGGACTCCAGAGAGGCATATACTGGCTCTGTTCTGCTTTGCACAACCACTGTGAGATCATGAGCATATCTGTGCTTCATCACTTACTACATTCCTTTGTATCTGTTGAATTATATAGAAGAGATTTTAGAAAAAATTACCAGCCAGGTGCCTGGTACTCCAAAAATCATTCATGCCATCAGCATGGGCTATCCTTAGAGACAGGAGAACAGTATCCTGAGGGCTTGGGAATAGGCTGGGGTCCCAGATGAGGGAGGCAGAAGCAATGACTACCGCAGCTTTCTACTTGTCAGATGAGCACAGCTGGGGCTCCCACCTCGAGGGCCACTGGGAGGATCAAATAAGATGAGTGCTGTGTAAGCCACAGGCCATCCAGGCTTCATCCATTTATCCTGCAGATTGCTGCTTTTTGGCCTCTGCTGCTTCCTCCAGGGAATTACTTCCCCTCCATTCCATGCACTTCTGCAGGAGAACCAAGACCTGATCCTCAGACCCCAATGCAGGGGGGAGGGGCAGCCTCAGGCCAGGCTGGCAGGAGTGATTCTTCTCTATGTTGTACACATAGATGAGAAGCTCAATGGCAAATCATTTGGGCCACAGGACCCAAAAGGACCCCACAGGACATTGTCCTGTTTCATGTCTGGAGCTACCATGCCAGGGGCAGCTTGATCTTTGAGCATTTGAGCATGAAACAGCAAAATGTAAACCAAAGCCAGCCCTTCCCTTGCTCAATTGAATCAGACAGTTCTCTGTTGGCTGCTTCAGGAGAAAAGTCACTTCGTTACAAAGCACGGGTACAGCGCAGGCTCCCGCAGGAAGGAGAAAGGAGCCGTCAGCAGAGACTGCTTGAGCCTGTGCTGTCCTACCTCGACAGCCTCCTAGCTACCTCTTCTATCCATCCCACTCACTCCCTAGCCTTCTGGAACAGAAGTCCAGATTTATCTCTAGGAAACACTTCACCTCTTGCCTGTGGTTCCTGAGATGGTGCCCTGCCGATCCCCAACTTTTGCTGCTAAAGCCCAGGGAACAGGTGTCTAGCAAAAGTGGTAGGGTGGTGGCAGGGATTGGACCCGATTTCCCTCCCAGGTGACAATTCTCTTCATCTCCATCACAGAAGATGGAGTGGCAACAGAAAAAATGGCCTAGAGAGTTGCCACCCTATAAATAACCATCTTTTAGAAGCAGAAACCAAACAAAGCAATTATGTTAAAAGCATGTTTATTTACCTGGCCATGTGATTGCAAATCCAATCATCCACCTTTACTCCTATAAATAAATGGCTGTGAATCCCTGTGACACTGAAGACAGGCTACAGCTAGTCAGCAAGATGCACACAGATCTGAGTTAGCCACTTGTGGGGTAAAATCGGTATATGCAAAGTGGACTCCTCCCTTGCATCGAGTCCCAGACTGCCTCATCAGCCTATTGGAACAGAAGCTCCATGTTCTCAGGCAGCTGAGGTTGACAGGTCACAGTGGAATGGAAGCCTGCTTCCTCAGGTGGAAATAACTGATGGTTCAGGCCTGCTTGCCTATAGTCCTGCTCACTCCCCCCCAACCCCATTCCCTTCAATGCCAAGTTCCTACCTTCCTCATGAAATGGAAGTCCAATGACCCAGAAATAATTTGAACAAACCTATTTCACTGAGGATGCTTTCATTTTTATCTTCCTTAACTCTGTGGTCCCTGTCAAGCATGCTGAGAGCAGGATTTATGTTTTGGCAGTGGGGTCTGGAGAATCTTAACATGTACAATTTGTTCAATTAACAGAGATGGAAAATATTACCTTTTACACAAAGGAAATTGCTTTCTTTTTCTATCAAAAGAGCACTGTATTATCTCATTTTCTTCATATTTTGGCTGAAAAGAGTTGTACAGGAAAGTACCATGTTACTCAGATGAACTTCACTAATGTTTTCCTTAAAAATGAAACAGTGCACAAATATTGCTTCTTAAGTAAGAAACACACATCCCTTCCATTCTTAAGAGCAAAACAAGCACGCATACACAATCAGCCTGTCTCCTAAGATGAATGGACAGAGCAAAGAGCAGCCCCTCTGGGTGGCTGGCTATTGGTAAGAGTTTGCACAAGGAGCAGGTGCTGACTAGATGCAGGGAGCCTTGCCTTGCTGACACCCAGCCCTCTTGCTCAGTAAACTTTGCTGCCTATAAAGTGTAGTGGCTCTTGAAAAATCTGCATCTAGAAGTGGCTCCTCAGACACCACTTAGACACTAGGAAAGATTCTCACAGCCGAGGCCCAGGTCTGGTCTCTTTAATGGATAACATGATGTCACATTCCTAGCCCACCAGATTTCCAAACACATTATCATCAGCAGTGAGATTCTGAGGCCAACCTGCTCTGAGCAGCAAACTAGAAGTTCCTGGTGACAAGTGCTTAGATGCTTTTTCCAACATTTAAGGCTATTACAAGTGATTTCCACAGAAGCTGGTTCTGTGGTAAGAAAGCATTCTCTTTAGGGCTCAACAGCTGAGCACCACTTCTCTCCAGCATACCTCTTTGGGAAAATATAAGACAGTCACCAAAACAGGGCTTGGGAAGTTTTTACACAAACTGACTTGAAGTAAAATGACCTTACAGTGTCTTTCCTCCCTGGTTAGCTCTCATGTGGGACTGCAATTATGTTCAAAAGCAAGGTTTCATGTGCAGCGTTTTTAACCTACAGCCTGCCAGTAAAGAAAACACGTTCTTCACCATCAAACCAGATTTAACCTTCAGTCTACAGATCCTACCACACAGGAGCACAGAGATAATTCTGAAGACAACTTTTCTCCCAACTTGTGGATCTTACCAGCAGCATTGCTGACGTCCCATTGGGCCTCGATAAGTGGATGGACATCTCAGGAAACATCCTGTCGATACGGCTGATCACGTCATCAACGTACCTAGGTGGGAAGAAGAAACACACCATGAACCAGAGTCATAGTCAGAGGGCTACAGAACCATGGTGTACTAAGACTTTGGTTGGACAGTTCATTTTTTAAATCAGCGTGATCCACTTTTAAGAAGACAAACAGGATTACAAGGTTTCTTCTCCTCTTGCCTTCTTAGAACAGACCATTTTTTTTTTTTTAGCGATTTCTTTTGGTATTTACCTCAGCATTCTAAATAAAAGTGCTTTGAATGCTACTTTTTAACTTCATCTCAAATACACAAAGCTCCTATAAAGGATTTTCCTGGAAGCTGGTTCTGTTTTAAGAGTGTTGGATTTCTGTTTTGTATTGGTTTTCATTTGCTTTGTTCCTTCTTTCTCTCCCTCCCTTCATTCCTTTGCTGCCTCTTCCCTCCCTCCCTTCCTCTCTCTTTCAGGGTCTCACTACATAGTCTAGGCTGCCCTCGAGCTCACAGCCCTTCTTCTTAGCCTCCTGGGTACGGGCATTCCAGGCATGTGCCATCAAACATGCCCAACATTCATCTGATCAGTTTCCCAGGTGCCTGTTACAATTTTATTCCTAAGCTCTTTTATTATAAAACTTCTTTTACTATAGTCAAACATATCAGGCAAGCTAGCAGTTCCATTTTTATCACTCTAAAAGAAGAGTCCTTTTGGTGCAAGTGGAACTTGCAATAATCCTTGAGACCACTGACATGAAGCACTGGCCTGGGGTCTGGCACAGATAAAGGATTCAAAGGTTGCAAGTGTGCTTATTGGTGGTTTTACCCCACCTAGGATTAGTCTACAGAAGTGCCCCTTCTTCTAGCAGGATGAGCTCTCCTTGCAGTGCAGGCTTACTGGGAAGATGCCACCCACAGCATAAACAGAACTGGGTCTGGCTCAGCTTCCTAGAGAGTAAATCACAGCAGTATTTGTGCTCACCATCCAATCACACTGGACACAAAGGGGATGTACCATATAATAGCCAGGATGCAAAACTATCTATTAAGGGTCTTGCGCTGGATGACAGGTCCACTAAATCAGGCACATGTAAAAAGGCACACTCTGGGGAAAAGAGAAGACAAGCTGCTCATTCACAACATGACAAGATTGCAGTTAGAAACCCAGGGCTCACGAGATAGCAAGACAGTGTTACGTCATCTGTTAGAAAGTGGACACCAACATAACCACTGCAAAAGTAAGAAACAAATCCTACAGGTCAACCTATCAGCTTTTCCTTAGAGAATGTTATGCACAGTTTTAAACTGTGTGATGCAGAAGGCCTGGAGAGAAAGGACAGTGAGCAGATGGGAATGGAGAGGCGTGGAAAGAGGTGGAGGTGCTGAGGATATCTGCTCCTGGGAGAGGAAGGCAGCGGGAGACTTGATGGTTGTCATGTGCACGGATGGCTTCCCTGAGTCAGTGCCAACAGTGATCTTCTCCCTCAAGAGGAGAGGACCACGGTGCGAGGATACAGCAGGGAAAAGACGAACTTTTTCAGAAAGAACACGAGGCATTTCTTAAAGGTTAAGGCTCCATTTGGTTAAGTTTTTAAGAGTTTAGGAAACATCAGTTCCTGGGCAGCTAAGAAACAGACTGACCAAGACACCAGACAGGGCCTTCTGTGGTCCCCTTCTAGGTTCAAAGTCATGTAACACATAACACACGACTTTGGACTAATCTTGAATGTTTTGTTTTGTTTTTAAAAAGGCAACTGGATGACGAGAGGAAGAAATCAACCCATTTTCACCCCCTGATGATGTTTACTGAAATAGTGCAAGACACGACAAAAACTTCATCTCAAAAGTTTACACTAGGCCACTGGAAACAGTTCTGTGTTTCATACTTCTTTCCTACATCTGTGTGTGTGGTTTAAACCAGTTTTTTCAGACTCAGCAGGAAGAAAAAATCCAGAGTCATGTGTGAATAGAGGTCACTGCTAAGGAAATGCTAATGGAGAGGAGGCAGGCAATGTCCTGGATCCTCAATCAATAGCCATCATAGCTCAGGACATCATAGCTGTGAGCAAATGAATATGCAGAACTTCAGTACAAAGGTAACATCATAATTTGCTCTCCCTTGTACCTTTCACCTTGAAAGCTTCAAAGCACCCTCCGGAAAGCCAGCGTCTTTAGTAGGCTAGAAAAACAGTTTACAAGATGATCCCAGGTCACAGAAAAAGCCAAAAGAATCAAGTGTAGGCTTCCAAATCTCCATGCCAGCTACCTGACTTTGCTTGCTTTTAGTAAGAACCAGAGCTCCAAACAGGCAAATAAGAATCCATATCTAGATTCCTTTTTTTGTGAGCCCTTCACTTACAAGCGAAGGTGGTGGAAGAAGGAAAACAGACCCTAGGAAAGACATCTACAGCTGTATAGGAAAGCAGAATGGTGTGGGCTAGAGATTTTTGGGGTTTAGATAAAGGTGAGAAAACTCAATTCAAAGCAAGAGCAGAATTTTAAGGAGACTGTTTTTCATTCTCATGCCTAACATAAAGGAGATGCAAATTTTATTGTTACAGGTGACATTATGTGTTTGCCAAAAAGAAAAGTCAGCTGCACCTTTAGCTGAGGAAAACAATGTCTCAGTTCTAGAAGCAAAAATCAAACACTCATTCTAAAACAGACCCAGTCTTTGAAACACAAATCAACCACCAGTGACTTGACAGAAATAAGAAAGCTTGAAACGTCAAATTAAAAGTCTAGTGACAGAGAGGACACTGTCTTTTTGCTGAGGGTGGGGGCTGGTCTTGGAGGTGGTCTCTGGCAGTACCTCCCTAGTTGGCACACTGAGCTGCTGTCTGCACAGAGCCCGCTGCCAAAGCAGGGCTAAGGACAGGTAGGAACGGCGTGCTCTCCTCCCACACTTCCACCATATGGCAGCCTCCGTTCTGTGGCAGAATCAAACCTCTTTAATTTTTACCTTTGGAATATAGGCAAACAAGCAGTAACACAGCAGTGGTGACTAGTTTACACTTGAGCAGACGTGGTGCGGAAAGACATTAATTTAGTGCCAAATTGAGCAGTGAGTCACAATTTGCACATATCTGTCAACCTGTTAACAGAGTAATAACTTGGAAAGATTGCAGTTCCTATTTACATTACAGGAGCCTTTCGAAAACGGAATGCTGTTTAGTTCCTTATTGAAGCACTCCACCGATGAGCCGTCTTGATGGTCCAAGAACTGGGCTAGAAACACAAACTTCTAGAAAATTGCAGGTTCAGATCAAGGTATGATTCAAAATTTCAGTATTTCCAAGCAGAAAATTAACTTTTAAGCAACCAGAGAGTCCTGTTTCTCTGCCCTACTCCTAATTAAGGTTTCTGGCCCAACCTTTCCAGGGCAAAGCGGCCTGAAGCTATTAAGGGCTCGCTGGGATCCAGCTTCAGAAACAACCACACCCATTCTCAGAGTCTAACAACCATTTCTGGAGCCTATAAACCTTGCTCTCACTCTTTTGCTTTTCTTCTTCTCTTTTTTTTTGTGGTATCGGGGCTTGAACTTAGGGCCTACACCTTGAGCCACTCCACCAGCCCTTTTTGTGTTAGGTTTTTTCAAGAGAGGGTCTCATGAACTATTTGCCTGCGCTGGCTTTGAGCCATGATCCTTCTGATCTCTGCATCCTGAGTGGCTGGGATTACAGGCGTGAGCCACCGGCACCCAGCTCTCTTGCATTTCTTCAAGAAGCTCAGCTTGTTTCTTTAAATGGCCTTAATGGCAGAATTAAGAATGCCAGCACCTCAGAGGTGCCCTGCAACATCCCTGCACCGAGGACATTAACAGCATCTCGCTAGGCAGGCTGTGGATATCTGGCCAGGCTGTTTCAAAGCCACTTGCCAGGATCTCCACCCAGTCAACTCACGTCAGCCTGGTGGAGTGACAGGCAGATATATTCTTTAAAATCCAAAGGATTTGCACTTATGTAAATGACTGTCAGGTTTTCCAATTTCTTTCACGAGTGCTTTTTCATCTTTCTTGAGTCATGGATCCCTTGGAGAAGGTACTGAAAACTAAAATTCATGTTTACACATTTTGCATACACTTTTCTGATGTTTATAGGCTTTAAAGTCCATTCATGGACTGTATCGCAGTCCTTTTTGAACAACTGGGGTATGATGGCCTTGGAATGTGTCTTCTCGCACCACATCCCGTCACCAGGGATACGTTAAGTATCCCTGTCCAGACTCTTTCAGAACTAACTCTCCAGGTTTCTTCTTTGCTGCTTTCTGAATGGTAATTTTTCCCCGATACAACTATTCTTATTTCCTCATTTATCTTCCTTCTTCCCTTCCTCCCTTCCTCCCTCCCCCGCTTTGTGGTCTAAAAACCAAAGTGGCGCAGGGTGTCAGTGAATACAGTAGCTCTGCTGATCTTAAAATCATGCTTTCATGATGGAGTCCTTAGGTTAGTTTTTATGTTTGACAAATAAAACTTGCATATATTTATCAAGTACAATATGTGTTAACATTGTGGAATGGTTAAATCAACTAATTAATGAATGCTTTACCTCACATAACATTTTTTTCTGTGTGGTGAGATCAATTAAAAGCTACTCTCTAGCCAGTTTCAAGAAAATGATACATTGTTATTAACTATAGTCCCTTCCCTATACATTTCTTGAACTTATTCTTCCTAAATGAAATTTTGATCCTTCACCAACATCTTCCCAGCTTATTCCCCAATTCCAAGCCCTTGGTAATCACTAGTCTTCTCTATACTTCTATAAATTCAACTTCTGAAGATTCCATATATAAGAGAGACTGTATAATAGCTGTCATTCTGTCTTGGTTCATTTCACTAAACATAAAGTCCTCCAGGTTCATACATGTTGCTGCAAATGATAGAAGTTCCTTTTTTTCAAGGCTGAATAGTACTGCTTGTGCACACACGCCAATTTCTTTATCCATTAGTCTCCTGATGGACACTTAGACCCGTATTGTGACTTCTGTGAACAGTGCTCCAATGAACATGGGTGTACAGATGTCTCTTCAATGTGCTCATCTCACTTCC